CCCGGCGGCGCGGAGCGGACCCGAGACGGCGGTGCGGAGCCGACCCGACCCGGCTCGACCCGACGGAGCGGAGCGGACCCGACGGCGCGAACCGGAGCGGAGCGGAGCAGCGGATCGGAGCCGGCGGGGCGGGCCGGGCCGGGGCGCGCTGCCGGCGGGGCGGGTCCGAACCGCGGCCGCGCCCCCGTGGCATCCCCCGGCCGCGGCGCTGGCCAATCGCGGCTTGTCCCAAAATCCGCCCCGGGCTGCCCCCCCGCCCCGGTCCCCCGGGGCTGGGTACCGGCGCTGGCATCCCGGCGGGGGGGAACATTGAGGGGGATGAGGGGGCCTGGGGGACCCCGTCGGGGCAGCCGCTGCTCCGCCCGCAGGGGGATGAAAGGAGTAGAAAGAGCGTGAGGAGGAGGAGGAGGAGGAAGAGGAAGGAGTGTCCCCCCTTGGGCCCCCCATGGCCGCCCCTCGGGGCTTGCGCCTCCCCCGGAGCCGGGAGCGCGGCCAGCGCAGGGCCGGGGCGCCGGGTCGGAGGCGTGGGCGAGAGGCCCTGGCCGCTCGCGCTCCGGCTGCATCCCGCTCTCCGGAGGAGCCCGAGCTGGAGCACGCAGAAACTTGACTCCTTATCCGCAGGGGGCTGGGGGAAGGGGGGAATGTGGCAGGGAAAAATGCCGGGCAGTTGGGCCGTTGAGCTGTCAGCGAGCRGGGATGGCTGCATGGAGCCCAGGGTGCCTCTGCTCATCCCTTTTYGGACATCTCTTCTGAGCAGGGAGGCTGAGGACCCCCTGGAGTGGGGGTCCCCAGTGAGGAGCTTTGCTTTGGAGCATGTGGGGGACACACACGGAGCAGGAGCAGGGCCGCCTGCTCCTCGAAATCCTGCCTGGGAGCAATCCCAAGCTCCAGCTCTCTCGCTGGAGTGTGTCCCGCWCTCCTGGCCCGGAGCCAGGGTCTTGCTGCATCTGTCCAAAAACGTATACATGCCCGAGGAATGCCAGATAACAAGGAGAATAGTGTCAAAGCCCGGGGGCCGGAGGGAGGAATAAATCAGCAGCACAGTGCTGGCATTTCCCGCCAGTGATCCTTGTTGGGAAATGCGGGGCCGGGCGGCCGGGCGGCCGCTCGCCTCTCACCCCGGGCCAGGGAGCGGTGGCCACAGCACGTGACAATGTCCCATGTCCTCCCACAGCCTGTGTGTCCCAGAGGACTATTCCCACCAAGGCTCGGAGTGGCGTTCCGGAGGCCAGCAGCTTTCGAAGGCCRTTCATGTGAAAACTTGGGAAAAACGGGTCGCGCAGGATCCTCAGATCCAGGCCACCGAGCTCTCTGATCATTGCCATGTGTCTCTGGAGCCCCTCTCTGGATCGGGCTCCTCTCTGGATCAGGCACTGCAAACAAGAACATTTATCTGCGGTGACTGGGGCTGCAGCAGCCCCAGCGAAGCCGGAGGAGGAGGCAACATTGCAGCACGGGGCTGGTAGGACCCCATTCCCGGCCACTCCCCAAGGCACTGTAGCCCCCACAACCATTTACACTTAAAACGCCCTCTGCCTAAAGAGAGAAAAGGATGTTAAACGCGGGAGGCGTTTGCTGCTTCGTGTGGCTCATCCTGCTGGCTGTATTGCCAGTCATTGCAGTAAGGCTCCAAGACCTGTGGTCTCCCCGCTGCCAAGAAGCCAGTCCTGCTCAGAGGCAGATTTATTTAACAGCAAGGACAGTAAATTGCCACCATCCTCATTTCCCGGGCTGGGCAGGGAAGTGTTCCCATGGGAAAGGGGGCTGGGATGGCTCAGGAGCATGGCCAAGCTCCCCAGAGCAGGGCATGGGTTTGGCCGCTTCTCCTAAAGGAAAGCAAATGTGCTGGCATCTGCCCGGGCATCTGCCCTTGCTGGGGTCGARGAGACCTCCAGGAACTGCAGCTGCTGGATAACTGCAGCCCGATCCGACCTCAGTGTCACTAAGCTTGGTCTGTAAAACCGCATGAYCCAGCACGGGGGCAGAGACACCCTTTGCTCCTGCCCTCCTTGCCTGGAAGAGCTGGGCGCAAGCTGGAATGGAACTCAATCCTTAGGAGCCATCAGAGAATCCAGTGTCATCCAAACTCCCTCCACTGTCACCCTGCACCCTGGGACACGTTTCCCACCCAAACCCTCTCTGCTCATCCCGGGCAGCTCCGTGCTGCGGGGTCAGCCAGCCCCGCACCACCAGTGCCCAGCACTGCTCGCACGGGAACATCCCAGCGGCTTTCCCTGTGGTTGCAAATCCCCCCAAACATCACTGCGGACGCAGGGCCATGGGCACCTGGCCAGTATGGTGCAGGGACTGCTCACACGTGTCCCCATCGTGGGGTCTGCAGGAGACGCGAGCTCCCTGCGTGCTCCCCGCACTCTCTCGAGGCCCTTGCCTGGTCTCTGCGCCATGGGAGAGACYGCGGGACATGATCGGGAGCCATTAGTCATTTCCCATTTCCCAAGCTTGCCTAATTTTAGTGCATGGGGGCAAGAGCTGCCAGACGCTCTCATCACGTCCCCCCATAAGAGATTCCAGCCACAAAGGCTGAACATGCAMACCTTGCTTGGTGAGGGAGGCGCCAACCCTCTGCACCCTCCTCTGGTGTGACAGATGTCCCCTTGTGGCAACCCATTCCCCATGGGACATGGAAGGTGGGGATGTGAGGCTCCTGCCAGGATAAAGCCGGAATGTCCGCACGGCGCCAGCTGCTCAAGGGCCACCAAAGGCCGAAGGACAGGAAGGGGGTGGACACTCCATGACGGGCTGCAGAAGCAGCCTGTCCGGGAGCGGATCTCCCTTTCCCTCCTCCCTGCACCTCTGCTCAGCGCTGTTGCAGCTGGACAAGGGCAGGATTTGGCCATGCCTGGGCCACAGGAACCGCTCTGCTTCACCCTGGGCCAAGCCAAGATCTCTTTCCCTGGTCCCTCCTTCCATGGGGACCTGGGCTCCTTGCTGGGCTCTTGGCACCACGTCACCTCCCTCAGGTGGCAGTTGCCTTCCCTGGGAAGCACCCCACAGCAGCACAGCCTGTGTGCAAGCCCGGGGAGCTGTGCACACTCGCATCAGCGGAGGATCCAGCTTGCTGCCTTCAACATTTCCATTTTTGGGAACGTTTCTCATTGACTTTGATCCTGCTTTTTTGAATCGGGAATCGGCTTCCCCTGCTGACTCACCATCTTCTGGGGCAGTCCCATTGCTGGGGGACACCCCTCTGCAGCGGAGAAGGACGAGGGACCAGAAGCTCCATCAGGACAAGGAGGCAGCAGCTCCTAGGGACACGTGTTGTCCAGGTGAGTCCAGAGGCCACTGGCCACTTGTCCACAGTCTCTCCCCACCCAGCATCCTGAGGGAGACGTGGCCAGGACACTGGCCAGACACCCGGGACTGCTGACCCCCCTCTGCACTTCCCACCTGCATCCAGTGTTTCTGGCATGGGCACCTCGAGCCTGGAATGCCGGGAAGCGTCCAGACAATCTCCCACCCACGCTGCCGATGATTCCCATATGCAGGGTCCATCCTGCACACTCCGTCACAGATATTCCAGCTCAGGAGCTCYCGGCTCCAAGCTCACTTGGAGAGAGAAGTTTTCCTTATGGAGAGCTGGGAAGAGGAGCATGAGACCGTGCACAGGTAGGTGAGATGAGAAAATGAGGCTGCCGGAGGCCTCCGTGGTCCTGGATTTCTCCGCCAGAGGAGAGGAGTGCAGAGGAGGGATCCTTAATCTGGATCAATTTTAATGCCAGAGGAGTCATCCCAGCTGGAAAGGTAGCAGCGCCCGGCGGGGCTTGGAGCTGGACCATGTGGAAATGCTGCTCCCGCCGTGCAGCACCGCAGAGGCAGCYGCAACCCCGGCACTGCTCCAGGGTTTGGTAGGTGTTGGGAGAGCTGCAGGTAAAAATAAAAGTGTTTTTATTAAATCTCCAGGCTCCTCCATCCTCTTGCTCCATAGCAGTGCGGGGATCCCTGCGGCACCAGGACCCGCAGGGCTGCCGCACACGCCGGGGCTCGRGGGATGCTCCCTGGGAGCATCCGTGTGCCTGAGGTGGCAGGGATACGTGAATGGCATGGATAAAACCTGCCATCAGGATGCCTGTGCCCTGCATCCCAGGGAGATCTCCCCATTTTCCCTGCAGAAACGGCTCTCTCCTAAAACTGTTTAAGTGACATGAGCCCATCCTAAGGGAATCACTGAGGACGAGAGACCCCAACAGTTTTGTGAGCATCTCCAAAGGAACTCACTGGGAGAAAAAAGGGGGAATTGATAGCAAACTGATAG